TCCATAGGGAGCTCCACCGGAGGCCCCAGTGCCCGCGCCCGCATGCGTCACCCACGCCCATTTCGGCACACCCCTCACACGTTTCGTGGCTCCATAGGGAGCTCCACCGAAGGCCCCAGTGCCCGCGACCGCATGCGTCCCCCACACCCATTTCGGCACACCCCTCACACGTTTCGTGGCTCCATAGGGAGCTCCACCGAAGGCCCCAGTGCCCGCGGCCGCATGCGTCCCCCACACACATTTCGGCACACCCCTCACACGTTTCGTGGCTCCATAGGGAGCTCCACCGAAGGCCCCAGTGCCCGCGGCCGCATGCGTCCCCCACACCCATTTCGGCACACCCCTCACACGTTTCGTGGCTCCATAGGGAGCTCCACCGAAGGCCTCAGTGCCGCCGCCCGCATGCGTCACCCTCACCCATTTCGGCACCCCCCCCGCATTTCTCGCACGGCAGGGTCATCACCACGGTGGCGTGCCAGGGGCGCACCTTGCGCGAAGGCGACGGGGCGGGGGAACGGCGCTCCGGGGGCGGCCAGACCTCCGGGGCGCGAGCAGTCCGCGGCCAGACCATCTTTCGGTCCTGTGGGCTCTCGCCCTGGGCCGTCGGCTGCTCGGCGCGCTGCTCCCTCGGTCGACGTCGCCCAGGCGTGATCCTGGATTGCGGCCGCCACGAGGTAGGGAACGGCAAGAAGGAGGACGACGACTGGTGGCTGGAGCTCTACGTGCTGCTCTCGCGCGCCACGCGCCACGAGGACCTCCTGCTCATGCGGGCGCCGCGCATCGAGTTCTTCCTGGCAGGGCCGCCGCAGGGCTTGCGGAAGCAGCTGGAGCAGTTTGCGGCGCGCACGAAGCGGTGCAGGAGGGAGGTGACGGCCCTCGCCAGGGAGCTCGGCTTCACCGAGTTCATCCGCGAGGCCTGACCTGAGGAGCGTCTCCCCCGAGCCGCGCCTATTCTCGACTGCCCGACTAATTGTTTGGCCTCGCGCCGCGGACGACCCGCGCGCGTCGCTGGGACCCTCTCGGGGCGACCAGCGCGCGTCGCGGGAACTCCGTGCCGCGGGGGGCCTGGCACCTTGTTCGCCCGTCGTCGCTCTGCCCAGCGGTCAGAGACATGCCCGCTATCAGCCAGCCAGTTAGCTAGTCAGCTCTCTCTGCTTCGCGCAGCGGACGACCCGCGCGCGTCGCTGGGACCCCGCCCGGGGCGACCAGCGCGCGTCGCGGGGACTCCGCGCTGCGCTGCGCCCGCAGCCTTGGATTTTGGAGTGCGCGGGCAAAGAGGAAGGAAAAGAAGAGCCGAAAGCGGGCGCGATCCTCGCAAGAGGCGTGCCGACATGGGCGTCGCGACGTGCGGACGCTGCCGTCGGGGTTCCCGCGGAAGCTGCCTGCGGCGGCCACGCCCAGTGTCACGTGTGTTCGGACAGGCATGCTCGACACTTACACTAGGCGGTTCCATGATCGCATTCATGCAAATATATTCACTCGCGCGCAGACCCATTCATACTCAGATTCCCTCGCGCTCTGACTCACCCGCGTTCTTTCTCTCGTAATCAGATCTATCGTATTCCTTTGCGTTGTGTACCCCGCCGCAGTTCGGCACACCCCTCATGCGGTTCGTGGCCCCATAGGGAGCGCCACCGAAGAATATACTCACAATTGCGGTACTCACAACTGCATATGGTTGGGCCCTTCGCCAGGATATTTTTTGGTTGTTTTATGTTGTTTTTTTATGTTGTTGGTTGTTGTTTTTTTTTGCGTTGTCTTGTAGGGCGGGCGCCAGCCAACACCAGGCAACGCAAAAACAACATATGCGCAACTTCAAACAACAAAACCAACATGTTGTGGTTTTGTTGTTTTTGTGTTGTGTTATGATTTTTTTTTGTTGTTTTTTGATGTATTTTTGTTGTCTGATGTTGACTGCTCTTTTTTTGTTGAAACAAAAAACACGCCACCTCCCTCGCCCGCCACCTCTTCCCGCTACCCCCTCCTCAGCGGGCCAGCCGCTCTCCGCCACCTCCCTCATCCGTTTCCTCCCCCCTCCTCAGCGGGCCAACCGCTTTGCGTTCGCTTCCCTCCTGCCTCCCCATTCTGCTCCTCGGCGGCCCAACCGCTTTGCATGGGGGGGGGAGGAGGAGGAGGGGGGGGAGGAGGAGGAGGAGGAGGAGGAGGAGGAGGAGGAGGAGGAGGAGGAGGAGGAGGAGGAGGACAGGATGACGATTTCGTCGCAGCCGTTTTTGGCTTCAAGTTTTTTGAATTCGCCCAACCGAATTCGAGAAAAAAAGAACAGGAAATTCGGTCAATGGCTGCCTGGGATGCTCGCTGCGCCACGCGCGGCGCCCTCGGCCCCGCAGCCACCATGGACGTGCGGCGCTTCGCGCAGGACGGCCCCCGGCGGCGCCGCTGCTGCCTGCAGCGCGTTCGGAATTGCCGAGCGAGCTTCGGTGATGAGCATCGTTTAACCGAACCCTATCCCCATCTCGGTGGCCTTTTCTCCACTAGGGGATTTACCCCCCGACGTGGAGATATAGGCGGAATACCTGGGGTTTCGGAAGGTATATCCCCTATGTCGGGGGCGGCGGGAGGGGGCGGGCTGGTGGGGGGCTACATGGGGTTGTTAGGTTAACCGATACTGAGGTGAGGCGCTACTCACCGTCGACGCGGACGCGGCCACGAAGCTCGTCGACGAGCGCCTGGCGATCGCGGCTCAGGCGCGCGCTGCCCAGGACGGCGAGAGGGACAGGCACGCCAACCAGCGGCGACGGCTTCACTGAGTGAATCCGCGCGCCGCGCGTTTCGAATCGGGAGCTGTGCTTCCCGCCTGCGCCCGCGTAAGCGCAGCGGAGGGCGACGCCCCCCGACGAGGAGGCGCCGCGCGCCGTTCCTCCTCCTCCCCCCCCCCTTCCGCGTTCTCCTCAGCGGCGCAACCGCTTTGCTTTGCGCGGCCCCTGGGGGGGGGGGGGGGGGGGGCGGCCGAGCCAGACAGATCAGTGATCTATCTGTTTTGGGCCCTCCTCCACTTCTTCCTCCTCGCCCTCTCCCTCCCCCCCCTCCGGTCGCTCCCCGCGTTCGCGCTCCCCGTTCGCAGCCACTTGAAGGGCTTCCCGAGGCGACTGCCTTCGTCGGAAGCCCCCCCCCGCGCACGCCATGGCGTCCAAGCGCGCGGTGAAGAAGCGGCGTCAAGGAAAGGTTGCTTCGCTGCCATGTGACGATGACGGCGATCATGCCGCTTCTTTTCTCATGCCCCCATATCATCTCTCCATCCAGGCGCAGCGGCGTGACCGCTTGGCACCCGGCCCCCCTCCCCCGCACCTCTTCAGGCGATGCTACTGATGCAGCGGACGCAGCGCAGGTCATCGCCAACGCGATGGTGGCGACCTTGCCCAGCTTCTCCGACGACGGCCCTGCTCCCATGGCACCAGTGGCAGCTCAGAGCGCGCTGCGGTCGCTCTTCCAGCGCCAGGCCGCGGCAGGCAGCCAGGAGACGCCAACCGAAAAGGCGGGGGGCGCTGTCGCAGGCAGCCTTCAGCCAGCAGCAGGCGAGCCTGTCGGCGAACCCGCCGACGCGCCCGTCGCCCGCGCTCCCGAGGTCGCGCCAGCAGAATCCCCGAGCGACGCCCGCCCGCCCTGTCCGCCCCAGCCCGAGGCAACCAGGGAGGCGACAAAGCCTGGCAAAGAGGCAACAAGGGATACCCCGCCTGACAAAGAGGCAACAAAGGAAGAGGCTGAAGAGGAGGCGGGCGAGGAGGCTGAAGATGAGGACGCGCCAGTGGAGCAGCTGTCGGACGACGACAAGAGGGGGGAAGAGGTTGAGGCCCTGCTCTCGCAGGGCGACCCGAAATGCTCCATGCGCAAGAAGGAAACGAATTCGCTTGCACAGGGTTGTAAGATCACCCATGGCGGCACGGCCATCACGTGTGCCACGTGCAGGGTGCGCGACCAAACACTTCGAAGGATTTTCGGCGGGTGGCCGATTGCGGAGTTCGACGAGCTCACCACGGAGGAGCAGGAACACTTCTACCAGAATTGCGGGTCAGCCGCTGCTGCTTGCCGCGACGCGATGAAGATGGTGCTGGTGAATGTGCGCATGATGCGCATCACGGAGACCCACGCTGGGCAATTTCTGCCCTTGTCTGTGTACGAGAAGCTGGGATACAGCACGAAAGATATTGAGGAGAAAACGCAGGCTGCTGACATCGAGGATCACCCAGTTCTCGGGAAGACGTACCGAGTTCAGATCCACGAGATCTCGGAGGCCAGGATCAAGGAGGTCATCATGCAGGAGATAGCTAAGAAAGTTGGCCGCAATCGCAAGCGCAGAGCGTCAGCCTTCCTGGAGGCTGTCGAGGAAGCTGAAAAGGCGCAGAGCGCGACAGCGGCAGGAGCAGCAGCAGCGCTCGAGGAGGCTCCAGCGGAGCTGCCGAAGCAGAATGGCTCAAAGAGGCGCCAGCGCAGCAGCAGCAGCAGCAGCGACAGCAGCAGCAGCTCCAGCTCCTCGAGCTCTTCAGAAAAAAGAATAAAGAAGAAGGGCACGAAGGGCAAGAAGGGAAAGAAGGGCAAGAAAGGCAAGAAGGACAAGAAGAACAAGAAGGACAATAACGATGACGAGGAAGAGCTTTCAGGGTCTGACGGGGGCCTCAGCCCAAAGGAGCTTGCGGCCAAGCGCATGGCGAAGCTCGCAGCAGAGAAGAAGGCGGCCCGCGAGGCTGAGAAGATTCAGAAAGCCATGAACAGGGAGATGGCCAAAGAGGAGGCAGCCCGCAAAAGGGGGGGGCCAGAAGAAGCGCGCCAAGGGCTTGCAGACCGTTAACAAGGTGCTGTTGGCGGTGAAGCCATTGCTGATGAAGACGGGGGATCTTCTGCGCGATGAGCGCGCTAAGAAGGCTCGACGGAGTCAGATCGGATCCGACGATGGGGAGGAGGAGGGGGAGGAGGAGGAGGGGGCGGAGGAGGAGAAGGAGGAGGGGGCAGAGGAGGGGGAGGGGGGGGGAAGGGGGGGGCGGGGGAGGAGGGGGGGGGGGGGGGGGAGGGAGGGGTAGGGGGGGGGGTGGGGGGGGGAGGGGGAGGGGGGGGGGGGGAGGGGGGGGTGAGGGGGGGAGGGGGGGGATGGGGGGGGGGGGGGGGGGAAGGGGAGGGGGGAAGGAGGAGGAGGGCGGAGGAAAAAAGGAAGGTAGGGGCAGAGGGAGAGGGGAGGGGGGGGGGTGGGGGAGTCGCCCCCTCTCATTTCAGGCGCCGACGACGTACACTGAGGGGGCCACCAAAAAGCAGAAGTTTCTGAATGATGTTGTGGAGTATTGCAACAAGTGCCTGGAGGACGAGGATGTCGCCCCAGACGTCAAGGAGGAGGGGGTTAAGACGGCTGTCAACTACATGACAGCGTGGATGAAGAATATCGAGGCTGCTTTCGAGACGCAGTCGTGGGCCAAAAAGAAGTGATCCACTGGGGCTCTGGCCAGATCACTTCGGAGTAAGTCTCCATCGACGGGTTGGTTACCGATGGCATGACCGTGGCGGTGGCTACCTGGGCGTCTGAGCGTGCTTGCAGGGGCGCGCAGCGGACGCAACCGCTCTCGCGTGGGATATATAAGGAGCTCGTTGCTCCCCTTGCTAGCGTCGTATACATCGGGAGCTGCTGCGTTGCTCCTCTCAGCAGTCCGCGCCGATGCAGTTCCCATAGCAAACGCGCATCCCTCCTCCTCCTCCTCCTCCTCCCCCTCTTCCTTCTCCTCCTCCCCCCTCCCCTCCGCCCCCACCCCCCTCCTCATGCATGAGTTCACCGCTTAATAGCCCCCTTTCCCCAGAATCCCCGACGCGCGTAATATCCATCATGATGTTGTCGCATGCAGCAGCGGCATCGCCGCTTTGCTAATGATGGCGTTTTCAATTGCAGCGGCATTGCCGCTTTACTTGTAGTTGCATTGCAGCGGCATTGCCGCTTTGCTATAGCGATGTCCATCTCAATTTGCAGCGGCGTTGCCGCTTCACTTTTATTTGCATCAGCGCAGCGGTCTGACCGCTTTGTTACGCCTGCACGTCCATGCCAATGCTTCCGCTCAGCGCCGCCTCAACCGTAGCGCTGGCTCAGGCCAGCTTTCGCCCGGGCCAGCTCTGGCTCGAGCCAGTTTTTGCTCTAGCTAGCCCCATCTCCGATGAAACGTTCAAGCTCCGATGCGGGCGAGAACGTCTCCAAGAGGTCGCACGCATTGGCTCCGCTGGTTGCCTCGTTTAAAGCGTCGAACGCGGCAGTGATCGGCGTCGCGCGCTGCCTGAAGGAGCAGCCAGATATCATTGACGACATGGCGAAGTGGAGTGTCAGAAAGGCTCACGAGGAATTCGCATCAGCATTTCTGGATGCGCCAATACAGCTGAACTTGGCAAGCGGCGCGGCCTCCGACATGCCCGTCGTCAATTTCGCCAGCCTCCTTCAACACTGCGCTTCCGAATATGCGAGCTTCAGAAATTTGCCGCCCACAACTTTAAGAAAATTCCCGTGCCCCCCAGCGGCGCCGCTGGACTTCATCTTGCACTTCGATGAGTTCGTGCCAGGCAGTGTCTTGCGGCAAGATAACAAACGCAAGGCGCTCTCGTTTTACTGGAGCTTCCGCTCCTTCGGCCCTGACGCGGCGTCGAGCGAGGACGCTTGGTTGCCTCTCGCTTTTGTTCGCCACACAGTGGTCGATAAGGTTGCTGGCAAGATGTCTGGAGTCGTTCGCCAACTGTTGCGACGACTTTTGATTGGCCCAGACAGCGCGTCGCAGAGGGGCATCCTCATTGATGGCATTGGGCCTGGCGGCGCCCCTGCGCTCATCTTCTGTAAGCTGTCGAACCTGCTTTACGACGAAGATGGCGCTAAAAATGCCTTGTGCTTGAAGGGCGCCGCTGGCGTAATTCCTTGCGATCTGTGCAAGAATGCGCGCGGCATCTACGACCACTCGGAGCCCCTGCTGTCAGCGCGTGACAGGACGAGCACGCCGGTGCCCGTTTCGTGCTCCGATCCCAACCTGTTCGACGCGCGCGCCGCGGAGGACCTGTTCTTCTCCGCGGACCTGCTCCAGCGTCTGCAAGCCACGCTGCCCAAGGGCGCGTTGGAGGAGCATAGCAAGATGCACGGCGTTAATCACGTGCCAGATGGTTTGCTATTGGACGCTGAGCTTCGCCAGCACGTGTCGCTGGACATGCACGCGTACGACCCAGCGCACTGCATGATCATAAATGGGATCGCTCAGATTGAACTGAGTGAGCTTATGTGCCGCCTCGCTGCCGTCGGCCAGACGTTGGAGCGCTTCAGGGACATCGCCAGCGCGCAGTGGCAGACTTGCAGCTCTTCAGGGACCAGCGGCAAGCTGGACGCCAACGGGCTTTTCAGCGGCCAGCGGCAAAAGCACTTGCAGACCAGCAAGAAATACAGCGCCAAGGCGAGCGAGATCATCGCGGCCGTTCTGCTCATTCGGTGCGCTCTCGATGTACTTACCACTGGGTCCGCTCAGTTCAAGCTGGACTTTGCAGAGGAACTGGCTTCCTTTGCCGCGCTGGCCAAATCAATTTCTCTGTATTTGCTGGCCAAGAGGGGCGCGGCTGTGGCAGATGCTTGGGCCGTGGCGCTCCGCGACCACGCCGCGGCTTTCGAGTCTGCGCGCGGTGATTGCGGCATGTACATCCCGAAGTTTCATTTCTGCAGGCACCTGCCGCGACAGGTGTTCAGGGATGGGTTCGCACTTGGTACGCTTGTGACGGAGAGATACCATAGAAAATCACTGCGGAACGCTGAATTCATCGACAACACGCGGTGCCTCGATAAATCATTACTGATACGAGCTATTGCCCTTCAGTGCCACGATGCGCAACATAATGTTTCATTTGGGAATGCCTTGGTGTGCGGCATCAAATACAACGACGTCATGAACGTTTCGAAGGTCGTTCTTGCGGGTGGCTCTCGCATATCAGCTGGAGATTCTTCGCATTGGTGAGAAGCGCTATTTTATCCTCGGTGGTGCCGAGGAAGGCGGCAACGTGGCGTTGATTGTTCGCGAGTTGCATTTTGTTTGCCAGATGTTGCCCAGCGCCTCACGGTGGCGAAAGGGCGACGCCCCGAAGTTCGCGCAGCGCGACTCCTTCATGGCACTGCCTCTCTGGACACAAGATGTTTCTGGAACGCTGTTATTGGTGGATATGGCATAAGCAACCGCGGGCGCCGAAGTGCCTGCAAGCGTCGAGCGTTGGCGCGATTGCACTTGCCAGCGCATGCCCTGATAAGAAAAAGGCGCAATCGGCAACCGCTGTCCAGATTTAGCGGCGCGACCGCTTCGCGAGGCTATCCAAGGGAAGACAAGGGGGCGAGGAGGAGGAGGAGGGGGAGGAGAGACAATCGGAGCGGTGCGACCGCTTTGCCACTTTGCGACGCTATCCAGGGGCGGGGTGGGGCGGGGTGGGGCGGGGTGCGTGTGTGTGTGTGTGTGTGTGTGTGTGTGTGTGTGTGTGTGTGTGTGTGTGTGTGCGTGTGTTTGTGTGTGCGTGCGTGCGGGTGTGTCTGTGTGTGCGCGCGTGTGTGGTATGTGTGTGTGTGGAGTGTGTGTGTGTGTGTGTGTGTTGTGTGGGTGTGTGTGTGTGCGTGCGCGTGTGTGTGTGTGGTGGGGTGTGTGTGTGTGTGTGTGTGTGTGTGTGTGGGTGTGTTTGTGTGAGTGTGTGTGGGGGGTGCGTGTTGTGTGCGTGTGTGGCGTGGAGGGGGAGGGGGGGGGGGGGGGGGGGGGGGGGGGGGGGGGGGGGGGGGGGGGGTGGGGGGGGGGGGGGGGGGGGGGGGGGGGGGGGGGGGGGGGGGGGGGGGGGGGGGGGGGGGGGGGGGGGGGGGGGGGAGAAGGGAGGGGGGGGGGGGGGGGGCCAGGAGGGGGGGAGGTGGAGGATGGGGGGGGGGGAAGAGGAGGAAGAGGCGGGGGATGGAAGGAAGGGAGGGGGGGGCGAGGAGGTCGGGGAGGGCGAGGGCGAGGAGGGGGGCGAGGAAGAAGAGCGGTGCGTCCGCTTTGCCCCTCATGCCCCGATCTTTCGCGCGCGATCGCTTTGCGAGGCCGCCCAAGACGAGGAGGAGGAGGAGGAGGAGGGGGAGGGAGAAGAGGAGGAGCAGGAGGAGGAGGAGGAGGGCGAGGAGGACGAGGAGGAGGAGGGCGAGGAAGGGGGGGGGGAGGACGAGGGGGGGGAGGAGTAGGAGGAAGAGGAACAGCGGCGCGTCCGCTATGCCCCTTGAATCCTGATTCTGGGAATGACCGTTTTGCAGGTTATCCAAAAGGAGGACGAAAAGGAAGGAAGGAGGAGGAGGAGGAGGAGCGGTGCGACCGCTTTGCCCCTTCAGCTTCTTGGTTCCCTTCAGTTTTGCCTCTGCCATTGTCATCTCAAGAGCTGCAGCGACGCCTTGCGCGGGCCCAGTACGAGCGCGACAAGAGGCTCACGAGGCCATCGGAGGTTGCCATCCAGGGATTCGAACGCATTTGCCCTCCCTCCTCCTTCTCCTTAACCTCCCCCCCCCCGTTGGAGCGCAACGTTCTTGGCGCGATTAAGAACGAAAGTTCTGAAGCGGCCAAGCCGCTGCACTGCGCAACTTGCAATGTAAAGGCGGTCTGCCGCTGCGGAAAGTCAGGGGGGGCAGGGGGAGAAGCAAGCTGGTTCGTGATTTGTTCTTAGAATTGGCTGTTTTTTCATTTTCATTATTTGTTTCATCATTTTTTCATTGTTTTTATCAACTTTTTCATTATTTTCATTATTCAACACTATTGATTTCATAATTGTGTAGTATTTTTCAAATAGTTTTTTTTTTCTAGTGCATGTTGATAGGATCCTATAGTGCACAATAGCTATATATATATATATATCTATATATATAGTGTTTATAGAACCCGCACCCAACAAAGCAAGGCCGCCCTAGGCCCCCTCCGCCGCGACCACCGCCGCGTCGTAGGCTCTCGGCGCGCGGCGCGGCGGCGAGCGCTGAATGGGGGGGGGCGGCCGGGGGGTGGCCGGGGGTGGCCGGGGGCCGCCGGGGGCCTCCGGGGGCCGCCCGCCTCGGCCGAAGATTGATGACTGAGGGTTGGCCGGGGGGCAGCCCGGGGTAGCCGGGGGCGGCCGGGGGGGGCGAGGGGCGTCGGCGGGGCGCGCGGAGAGCCGCGATCGCGAGTTCGCGCGCCGACTGAGGCGCAGAGCGCGCGCTCGCGCCGCTCGGGGCGCCCGCGGGCCCCAGACGGCGCGCAAACGCGCGATCGCGCCTCGCCCGCGCTTCCCCCGCCCCACTCCGCGTGTTTTGTTGGGCGACTCGCGATGGTCCGAGGGCTCCTCCTCCTCCTCCTCCTCCTCCTCCTCCTCCTTTTCCTCTTCTTCCTCTCTTCTGCCTCCCCCCTCCCCCCCCCCCCCACCCCCTCCTCATTGCGTCGGTGCCCTCCGCCAGGCGGCGGCGGGCGCGCTAGGCGTTTTTCGATGTCAAGAATCAGCGGTTTTCGGTTTTCACCGAAAAACAGCGCGCTCGTTCCCCCCCACCCCCCCCCCCCCCCCACAACAACGATTGACCACGACGTAGCCTGGGTACCGGGATGTCCTTGGCATCTGGATACCGGGACATTGGGCTTTCCAGTGTCTCAGGTGTTGTTCGGGTGCGGTTGTTCTGCGCGGTGCAAAATCATGACAGACTTCATGCGCGATCGCCGTCTGCGGCTGTTTTCGCTCATAATTCGGTTCGCCAGCTGCGGTCTGTCGCTCGCGTGTCGTGCGCGGGCGAGATTTGATTTTCTCGCCGTTTTCGACATGTGCGGTCGTTTTGCTAGATTTCAGGCGTGGGATTTCATGCTTTGCTACGTCGTGGCCAATCGTCTTTGTGGGTGTTCGGATGCAAGAAAAACCAGCGCGCTGTCTTTTCGTGGCGGCAAAACCGAACACCGCTGATTCCTGACATTTCAAAAACGCCGAACGCGCCCACCACCCCCCAGTGATCTGCTTCTTACAAGAAGAAGAGCCAAGAGAAATGGAGATGAGTAAACACAGGGGCTGCGAATGACGCGAAAAGCGGGCGCTGGGCCGGCGGCGGCGCGGGGCGGGGTGGGGGTGGGGGGTGGGGGTGGGGGGGGGGGGCGGGGGGGGGGCTGCATTATATATATATATATATATAATATATATACACGCACACATTATCTTGCGGGGGTAATGGTTTCTGCTGTATCCCAGCGCGCGCGCGACGCCGCGCGCGCGGGCGTCGTTGCACTGCTTGCGCGGGGCTCGCGTCCCGAGCAAGTGCGCGAATGCGCTCGAGCGATAGCGGCGCGCGCGCGAGGCCCGCGCGGCATCGGTGAATGACGACGTTGACTAACGCATGCCTGCCCCAAGAATTTGCGAGAGCGCGGCCGCGCGTGCGGGGGGCCGCGTTGCGCGCCATTGGTTGTTCGGTGCGTTTTCGGCGGTCTCGGCGCGGTTTCAAACAAACTTGCACGCGCGCGCGACGACGCGCGCGCGTCGACGCTGCATGTTTTACGCGTAGTAGCGTTGGAAAACAATGATTCTCGATGAGCGGATGACGCGCGCATGCCATTGCCAGTCTGGGGCGAGGGGCGGGGGCGATAAGGGCATTCGTACGATGCATTATTTTGAGTGTGTTTGGTAGGGTGGACCCCAAGCAATGCATTTCTAACGTTCTTCTGTGTGCAACGCGCGCTGCGCACTCGACGCGGTGCAATCTATTTTGCGCAATCGGCGCGGCGCGCAGTAGAAGCGGCGCAGCCGACGTGGCGCAACGTGAGATGCAACCTCTGTTGCGCCACATGCGCGGCGCTACATGCACGCACATGTACAAGTATCATCCAGGCACCGGCGTATATACGCGCACATGCGGTGCAATCTGGTGCGTGAGTTATGCCGGGCAAGCTTTTCGGTGCAGCCTGCGTTGAGCTGTCTGCCCCGCGCCATCTATCTGTTGCAACGCATGGTCTTCAATCTGCGTTGCTACTACGCGGTGCCTTTCTGCTTGCGCGGAGTGTCGTGCAATCTCTGTGGCGGAACTATTGCATCGCGAATTTCATTGCGCGACCGACCTGGCGCTATCTGCGTGGCTCAATCTACGTGGCGCTATTTGCGACGAGCAATCTACGTCGTGTAACCTGTGATGCGCAATCCACGCCGTGCAATCTACGCGGCGCCGTTTGCGTCGCGCAGTCTACGCCGCGGCATCTATGCGGCGCTATCCCTGTGGCGCAACTTATTATCACCGCCGAGTTGAGACCCCCCACGCCCTTGCAAACGCCCCACCCACCCAGCCTCAACTTGGCTTGCAACGCCCGCGCGGCCGCGATTAGCGCTTGGCGTTGGCTGGTGCATCTCTATGGCCTCGCCGAGCCAAGGATGCGCGCGCGGCGGCCAGCTAGTTCGGCGCGACCGACGCGGCCGCGGCGGCGCTGGGCGCATCCCAGCGGGCACCGCAGTGCGAGTAGGCGACCTGGGCGGGCGCGGCAACGTCGACAACAGTAGACGCGATGATGATAGCGATGCTGGCGACGACCCCTGCAACGACGACGGCGCTGCCAGCGCGGGCGCCGATGCTCATCGCGCCGGCGACGATGTCGGCGTCCTCGCGTCGGCGATGAAGGCATCGGAAAGAGTTCGACGCGCGCGCAGCCGACGCGCGAGAGCGCCCCGCATGATGCCACTCGACACGGATCGCGCCCTTCAGCAGCCGCGCAAGTGCACGCGAATGATGTCGGCATGCGGCGCCAGAGGCCCGCTTGGCAGAATGGTGGAAATATGTAGAAATGCAAGCTCACGCAA